ACCGATTTCTTTTAAATTCAAAATGTAAGCTACCAGCATGATGGCAAACACGTTTTCCAAAAATAGACCTGCTAGGTGGCGCGGGAGTTGAGTTATTTATAAAAGTCGTATTTATGAAACGATTACTTTCAAATTCAAAAGGTAAAGTTTCAGCATAATAAAAAAAGACGTTTACCTAAAACGGAGCCGCTAGGTCGCGCGGGAGGCGAGTTATTTATAAAAGTTGTATTTATGAACCGATTTCGTAAGCCTGATGAAAAAAGCACTTGCGAAAAACGGACCCGCTAGGTGGTGCTGGAGTCGAGTTATTTATAAAAGCCGTATTTAGGAACCTATTTTGTTAATACACATTCGAAACGTTTATTACTTTCATGATGATTTTTTTCATTCGAAACATATTCAGCTTAGTGATGGCAAAAAAAACTTGATAATCGATTAATCGGTTAATTGATTAATCGAAAGCATTCGATTAATAATTGCAATTAATCGTAAGAAATTAACCGATTAATCGGTGGTTTCGATTAATATCAAAAATTAATAAAAAACTATTTATAAGTTATAAAAGCTTACTTACACCCCGTGTCAAAATTATAGCGCACCAAAAGAATTTTTTTTTGTTATTTAATTTTAGTTGTTTTTTTTTAGATGTAGCTTATTCTTTTGCAAAAAGACATATCAATAAAAATATATCAAACGTTGTGCAATATTAAAAAAAAAGTCAACAAAAAATTCGAGCTTTTTAATTAGATTTATCAGAAAGATTTTTGATATGCAGTTTTGTAGCCCATTACATTTTTGTATAAAAAATTGCAATTGGTATGCAGATTTGTAGCCCATTAAATTTTTGTATAAAAAATTGCAAGACTGATGTATCTGGCACTTCCCGTTGATTTTTATAATTTTTTTTGTGGTAACGGTGTTGCTTATTTTCTTCCATATGAAAACAAAGAATATGCGCAACCAGCGTTGCCAGGTTGACGTTTTTAACGTCATTTGGATGTTTTTTGTATCCTGTTAACGTTCGGACGTTTTTTGTGTAAAAAATTACGTTTTTAACTTCCCAGTAATTTTTCTCTGTTACTAAATCTTGTAAGTAGAACTAATTTTGAATTATTTTCTTAACAAATCTTTACAAGCATTTCCTCGCAGCACTTTTCTACAAAAGATCATATATGTAATACTCCTATATTGGCAGTAAGAGCTAGTACCGTCCGAAAACACTACAGTACAGATATATCAATAAACACGTACGAAAGAAAAGGAACACATACGTTTATAAATAAACATGTACACAACACATATACAAAAACGGCACTCAAGTACACAATACATTGACAAAAACTGTACTAGACTGTCTCGCTTTGATTTCGGAATACTTACACATTGAGAAGTTCGCTTACTGCCAATATAGAAGTATTACATATATGCAAAAGATATTTATTCTTTGGACAGAGATGACTTAACTATGATGCAAACCAAGCGTACGCGCATTTTTTTGGATTCTTGGACTAAGGATCCCGCGTTCAAAGGCTGGTTTTGTAAACACTTGAGGTTACGAGGCTTATTGCAATGTTTGCAATTGCACATTAAAAGCCAAATCAGGAAGAGCTGATCTATTGCAACACGCATGCTCGCAAAAGCACCAAAAAAGCTGTAGCAGCATAAAAAGGCCGAAAAAAGTAGGCGACTTGTTTAAGACTGCCGTGAAAATGTAATGAACGCAAAAACGGTGGAAATATTGCCATGTTCCTTCTTACAGACCGTAATTTAGCATTTTCGACAACCGATTACCTAACCAAATGCTACAAGAAAAAGAAATATTAAGAATCAACGCGATTCTTTAGATTTTTATAATTTTGGCACAAAGTTTGAAATGTGGATTTATATTTTGTTTGTTATATAAAAATCTAGGCTTTTATGGAAAAAATAATAAACATTCAATAAACAAAAACAGCCACAATCGATCAAAATGTTGATGACTTAATCAGCTGATCACAAGTGTATGTATAACATGATTTTTATATAACGATCTCAAAGCAGTTTACAATGAATTTTAAATGTGCTCTGTCGAAATGATATCACAGCGCACGGCAGTGCGCGCGAGTGACGAAAGCAGCAACAGTAGCATGCTGAAATGACTCGCTTATATATACACGAGATTTGGAAGTTTTTATCCAGAAGTCCACTCGACATGTTTGATATATCGTTGGAAAGGTCTTGCAGAGTGTGTCCAGAAAATATATTCAGGCTTCGTAAACGATAAACCGGATTCTTAAAAATTAGGCTAAAATGTTGCGAAACAAAAAAAATTTGTTTGCTTTTGCCGGTTTAAGGGGGCATGTGGATACACCCAACACATTTAGTGTTATTCTATAGGCTAATACCTTTCAAACGATACCTTATATATTAAGTTCCGGCCTCTAGTTGAAAAGATATAGAGGTAAATGTGTTTTGGTTCGTGTCTCCACTACGAGATACTTTGGTATGTATGTGGCGTCTGTACGTACCATCATTTAATTTTTCTCAGACTTTCAGGAATTAAAGTACACAAAAAACTAAGAAGGTTTTGTTCCAGGATGTTTTGATTCGTATGCCTGTGTGGGCGTGGCTGCTGCCTAAAATTCGAAAAAAGGCAGTTTTTTAAACTACCACTGAGGCCGCACTACTCAGTCCATGTCATTGATGTGAATATCAGTAGAAGGGTCTTCAAACAAGCTATCTAACGCTATCTTTTGTGTTTATAAACTATAAATACGTCATAACGTTATCGCCTGAAAACTAAAAATCGGGCTGCTGAAAATAAAGATTTCGGGACTCGATTTTATTCTAAGTTTCCACAAGTCTAGCGCAAAACCTTGGCTTTCATCTGGTATAGTAGTAGTATATTTATTTTTTTAGCAATTCGAATACACACATTTACAACATTATACACACATATTATGGAATTTAAAAATAAATTAAAAATTATGGCAGTAACTAATATTGTTGAGTGCCACACTAGAACTAACATATTAAGTTAACATAAACTACTTACGCAAATTCATTAATAATAAAATCCCTATATTTAATGCTGTTTTGCAAATATTTGTACAACGCTTCGTAATCACCGCCATTTAAAATGTTTATCACTCTTGCCAGGTCCAAAACTTTTTCACCGAAGCTATCCAAACGAGACGC